ACATGGGCATAGTAACAATATTTTTATACTACATTTATCCATTTTAAATACACTAACCTCACTCCTTAGTAACAACTAAGGTAAAAATGTAATTAATTCAGAAAATCTTTTCAGGACCCCATCTTGATGTTTCGGGACCCCACTTTGGGTCCCGACCCCAACTTTGGGAAACACTGGTTTAGACTGTACAACGTGGGGAAATGGCTTATATTGAATTATAACAAATATAAAAATAACTTGTGTTTAACGTGATTTACTGACCTGGGGAAGGGGAGGCAGCTCCCTGACCTTCGTTCTCTGAACATTTAAAAAGAGGGAAAAAACGAGGAGTTAACACAACTACTTTTATTTACCGATATAACTCAAACTAGCAAGCTAATGCTGGAGAACAGTTAAGTGTGTTTAGCTAGCGGTTTCCTGGTGAAGTTACTTACATTTGGGTCTCCCGTGTCCATTTTACGACTTTTTATCAAAACATTAAAATTACTTATTTGTCTAGTCACATTTCTATAAGCATAAGTCGAGTTTGAACTACATAAGGTGTTTAAATCCCCCCATGTTTTTTTATTTTCTTTGAACGCAACGCCCGCTACCCGGATGTACGGAAACACAACACTGGTACGCTTCAAAATAAAAGTCCCGTTTCGAAGTAAAAAATAAGAGACTACTAAAGACTAGTAAGAACCAGACATGGGTTTTTACGATGTAAAAACAAGTGTGCATTGCCATGTAGCATGTCATTACAGCATGGCTTTGCCTGCAACAGTGGACTTGCAGAATGAAATGTGACCAAGTTCAAATGTGTTTTCTATACCAGCCTGTGCTTGTCATGTCATCAGGTGTTTGTAATAAGGGTAATTGTGTGACAATATGAAGTTTGTAGAGATTTTCTGTTAAAGTTGCTGCTGCTGGATTTCAAACCGTAATCTCCCACATGAAAGCCCACGGCACTAACCATGAGACCATTGGAGCTGTGGTAGAGGACGAGGCCAGGGTTTGGTTTGTGTGTGTGTGCAGAAAGTGGCCACATTGCCAATGTAATGGTTGTCACTAATTTGAAAAACATTACAACAATAAAGCAATATTAGGACAATATTTTAGTAAAATATCAAAACACAATCATATTAGTATTGCAAACACTGAAGTATTGAGATTAAATATTATTAAACTATGGTGCAGTACTGAGTAGATACAGCAGGGGCAGTATTGG